TGAAACAAGTTTCATTCCAATATTTGAAACAGTTCTGAGATATGAGCCTCCAAAGTTGAAACTTTGAGTCAGATTTCCATAGAGCTCCTTTGATTCTACATCAAAAATTATTTTTTCGAGTTTTTCAAATTTCTGACTTCACCAGTCGGAAAATAAGGTCAAATTTGGTAGAAAAACATTGTGACAACTCTATGTTAAAGGTTTCAAGGCTTGAAACAAACTGAAAACACTTATTGGTTTCTAAAAATTTCATTTATTCGATATGATTTCACAAAATCATCTAATACTCGGTTTAATATTCCATATATTTCAATGTTAGAATAACTATTCCGAATTAGAATTTGATGCTCTTCAAGATGAAACAAATTTTATTCCAATATTTGAAACGGTTCTGAAGATATGAGCCTCCAAAGTTGAAACTTTGAGTCAGATTTCTATAGAGTTCCTTTGGTCTTACATCAAAAATTATTTCTTTGAGTTTTTCAAATTTCTGACTTCACCAGCCAGAAAAATAAGGTCAAATTTAGTAGAAAAACATTGTGACAACTCTATGTTAAAGGTTCCAAGGCTTAAAATATATTGAAAACACTTATTGATGTACGTTAATGACTGGCTTTCCATTAGTGCACCCAACACCTCCATGAGTGTCTCAAAAAAATTGAAAACTTTCAAATTGCCTGTTTGAAAAATACAGCTACATAATTGGATAGCTATACTATCTTTATAAAAGAGTATTATTGTGTAATGCACCTGTAGATTTTTAGCTGAAAATGTTTAATGGACTTCCACTAGCAATTTACCCCAAGGTGTTAATATGGGTAAGTTGTGTTGGGTTAGTTGGGTTGTTGCAACTGGTAGTGGCTTATTGCAAGTTACAATAATTAAGACTTAAGACCCAAAAACATCTTTGGATAATTTCCAGTGACAGAATAGCTATGGATTTAAAGTGGCTTGAACAGCAAAATTGTAGATAAAAATCAATTTATTTAATTTAAAAAAAAAAAAATAAGTTGGATTGTTCGAAATTCAGACATTAGAAAAATCAAAGGTTGTTTATTCAAGATTCAATAAATCCCAATTACCAAAAAATAATTGTTGGTACTACTTACCAAAATCCAGAAGTCAATTGGTACACTATGGGCACACGACACAATAATCTAAGCTTGTGTAAAAAAAAATCGATAATTCTCGGACGCAACTGACGGTGCTTTATCTCCAGCGATTGTACTCGACTAAATCCAAATAAATTTAAATCCCTTTGTCCGACAAAAACCCCCACAAAAAAAGGTAAACAGATAACGTAATAAATATGAATATGTTAGGAGCAAAAAAAATTAACTACGTTATAGAATACAGGGTGGGCCAATGAAAACTTTCCACCCCGATTTTTTGGACTTGAAATGAAAATCTGGAAAAACGCTCAGACACGTCAGTTTTTTATTTGAGGGGGACCCATTTTTTAGTTTTTATCACCCCTGTAGCTTCAACCCCCTAGCTGGGGGGAGCGCAATCCCCCAAATTTGAATAGGGGATAGGGGTCGTGTCATACCTCTTTTTAAAGGTCTATGACCCTAGAATTTCGTCTCATTATTTTTATTCATAACTGTTTCATCCACTCAATAGTTTAAAGTTATTTGTATTAAATTGCTAAGATTGTCCTTCATTGAATTATTTTTGTTTTGTTTATTTTGCCAATTATTTATTGAAGTACCTACATACTTTGAATTTGGAGTAAACTTTTAATCCACGATTAGGGTTGCCAAATAGCTTTTCTGCTCGATTTGACCTCCTTCATAGAATTGGATTGCTTTTCTTCATTAACATTGTGACCATTTTTTTTTTTTTTTTACGAAATCGGTACCTATGTACCTACGGTTTTAGGGCACTCATGGACCTCTTCAGATAGCAACTGGCCCAAGTACATACAAAGAAAAAATTAATAATGAATAGGTACCCAATATACATAAAACAAAAACGCAAGCTTGTTTTTAACAAGTTCTAAAAAACAAAGGACTTTTCTCACGGTAGCTTTAATACTTTACTAACTTTTTCCGTATTTAGGTATACCTAAGATACTCTTCTAAGATACAATAATACAGCTACAATACTTACTTGGTTTTCAATAGAGATCTTCATTTGTATATTTACTAGGGTGCAAAATAACATATGTTAAGAGTAATGTTGGTCTGAATAATCCACTAACCCAGACAGCAAACAAAGTCTTGAAGACGTCTTTTATGCTCAGTCCTTTAATTTCACCAGTGTCCAGTGTCTAATCCACGGTTCCTGAATCAGGGCAATATCTACTTCCCCCATAGCAGCAGAAAGGACCGCTGAGGCTGCTCTACTGTGTTGGAGGTTGATCTCAATTACCTTGATCGCCATCCTTCCTCTTTCCGATGGCCCTGAAGATCACGCGTCCCAATTTATAATATCCTTTAAACTGGGATTCTCTCCAGAGGGTCTTGGACGAACTCTCATCCATAGAAAAGGCCAGGAGCTGTCCATCCTTCTCGATTTTCCGGCTCAGCAGGAGTTATTCTCCCATCTTCAGGCCCACTGAGGGAATTGAATTCTGGAATTTTCTTCATTGCAGACAAATATCTCTTATAACTGCCATAAATTATCTATCTATTACTGAATAACGTATTTTTATGGTTGCTAAAAATTCTTTGTTGAATTATCCTCATTATCACCTATAGTTATCTATGAGCCCCTATAAAATACTTTACTCGTGTTAAAAATTCAATTTAATGATATTCAAATTTCTTCATACGAATTTACTACAGTAGCAGTAGCTAGATACTTTAATATGGTTACTACACACGATCTTTAAAATTGATCTTCATAACCATCGATATACGTTTTTTAACAACTATTAGTTGATTTTCAGTCTTTAAAATGTCCGTTATAGCCATAATAAGCTTAAGCGGGCTGTTATTGGCTTCGGCTATTCGCGAAACCACCCGAAGCGCGCCATAATGGTTTATTTTGTAATTTTTCTGTGCATTCCAATTATTGCTTCCGTGCAAGCATGTAGCATGATCCCGCTCATTTGTGATCAGGTGTTGCGCCATTTTTTGCTGTGCGTTGATTAGTTAGTGCGTTGCGTTGGCGCCGTTGGTGAATTATTTAAATCATTTTGAATTATTTATCATTTATAACCTTGGATTTTGGATTTACACTGGCCTAGTGCTGAATATGGCGTGTAAAGTTGCCCTTCTAGAGTGGGGCTTACAGTCATTTATCGAAGGTGAGCTATGAGTAGGTATAAATATAACCCCCTCAATGCTTTCATTAATTTTCAGATTTGGAATAATCATTTCACAAAGCAACTGAAACTAGGATTTTCTGCATTCTTTTTTTTTGAAAAACAAGAGTCTTTTTTGAGAAAATATAAATTAAAAATGAAAACTCTCTTATTACCTGCTTTTGCTTTTTCCAAGTGGTATTTTTTATATTATATACTCAAGTAGTTATGTGGGTATACATATACGATTCAAAATTTTGCAGCTTTTATTTATTTTCAATATCACCATAATAATATGTAGGTATCAACAATCAATAAAAGTTTGATTTAAAAAATACCCATTGTCTTTTTATTTTTACCTCTTCCCAAATGCAATATAATAGTACCATAACATTTTTAATGATCCTTAGGCCCAGTTGTACAATCATTGGTTCAAAACAGAGTTCAGCTGAACTCTGTTTTTAACCAAAATTGTATAACTGGGCCTTATAAGGTTATCTTGTTATGATTATGAAAGGAATTTTTGGTGGTCAAAAAAATATATTAATGATATAAAGATATTCATCTGTTATTATGAAAATGTTTATATTATCCCTTATAAGATATATTTAAGGGTTAATATACAATTTAATAACCATCATCAAATATTTATTGACAGTTAAAAAACCGTTTTTTAGCCATTCAAAACTATTTTATTGTAACTTGTTTATAAATTTTTAATGGTCTTTAGGCGATTTCAGTAAATTGGTCTATCAATGGTATAGCAAAGTAGTAGTTTATAAAGTGACTTTTATAATGGTAACTACAGCGCTTTTCTGTCCCCCATTTTATACGATATTTTTATTAAGATTATTAAGATTTTTATAATGGTTTAAAATTAATTCTCTCAGTGCCTGGATTTTGTATCCCAAGACAGGTCTTGATGACTTTTACTGAGGTCGCTTCTGGCTCTGGCACGAAAACGAGAAACATTGGCCTTGCGTTTCATCACAATAATATCAAATAATTCGAAAGACGAATCCACGAATAGCTAATCGTAAAGTTAATACACTGTTAAATTGATGAAATCGTAAAAGTAGTATAAACAATACCCAGGTAAAAATAGCCATTCAGCGAACAATCCTTGAAAACTTTCAAATTTCGACTGTAACGTACCTTGTTTTTTATGTCTATTGAACAAAAAAAGCATTAAGAAATAAAATAATTCACAAAACCACTACTGGAAGTGATTTATTAGTTAGGATTCTGCTACTGCTTAATGCCTACCTGATGGAAAAGTTAACATTTGCATATTACAACTTTTTGAAGGTAGCCAGATAGTATAGATGGCTATATGTCATTGTTTTTCAGGATTTATACAAAAAAAAAAGTAGGTAGGTAATTGGTTGTGAATCATTTCTATCTACTTATCACAGTTTGATTAAAAAATGCGGAGGAAATTTGGAAGTGAATATGGGCAATAATGATCTATGAAGCAAATTCGAGGAAGTACAGAGTAAGGAAGATCCTTTCAGTTTTTCTCACCATCACCAAAATATTGTGTATTGGAGGTATCCGGCTACCAATAATGAATTACACTAAAAATACTGATTGTGTAATTAAAATTGTCAATGTAAAGGAATTCTAAATTCATTAAATTCAACCTTGATGCTGCTGTATGTAAATATAAAATGTTCTTAAACCGAAAAGTGACATTACAATATCATTACCTAGCAATTAAGTGATGACTTTGCTGTTTATACAGGTGAAGGCGTTATCTAAAAAGCCTAGAAACTTCCTGCGTTCAATATATTAATTTACTATCGTTATTATAAAAGCTGGTTCATTTCCCACTCCATCACACTCTTAAGTTTACTCAAGGCCCGACCTGACATTCACTTTTTCGTCTTGCCACGATCGGTTCCGGTATTTCAGTATTTGTTGGTTGTCGAGTATAGACACTTTCGAAAATGACTAAGCCAAAATTATATTACGCTCAAGTTAGTCCTGCTGCCAGATCCACCCTTTTGACCATTGGGGCTTTGGGCTTGGACGTGGAATTGGTGCCGGTCAATTTGATGGCCGGCGAACACTTGACACCTCAATTTTTGAAGGTAGGATTTTTTGACCAATATGTTTTAAGCAATTCAAATTGCCTAGGTAGGATTCTTTTTTTCAAATTGAAAGTTTAGGCGTTTAGGGTAATATTTCCTTTTTGGGCGTTTATAATACTTAATTATTTCTAGTGGTTTTGCAATGCATAATTTTTAGTTAAGTAAATTGGGTATTAATAGGTTGGTTTGCGGCATTTTAATGTTAATTTCGATTTAATTGCAAAATGGAAAATATGGCATATTATACATAAATAATTATTATCGTGAATAATTTCCAATTTTTTCATTTGTTGGAACATAAGTATAGAATACTATACTATACTTCCAATACGATCTTGATAATATAATTCCTGCCAATTTTGAAAATTCGACGAAGTAATATCTAAATCTTATCTTGAGAAATCTATTGGCGTACCATCAGTTGATAAATTATAACTAAACTATAGGTATATTTTAAAAGGAATAACTGTATGTGTAGGTACTGTATTGATTAAGTGTCATTAAAAAGTTACTCTGGGTAAATTTTATGTTTATTGATACAAATCACTATATTTCAAGAGTAGGGAGGAATTACTCGATCTTCCCTACTCCTGAAATCATGCAAGTGAATGTGAAGTCAAGCCTCACATAATTTAAATCCACTATATATGCCTGATAATCCATCTTTTTTCTTTAATTTCAAGAGAAAAATGTTTCTATTAGTAGGCATTTTATGTCATTCAACGAGAGTAGGTTATAATGATTCATGATTCGATCATGGAGATAAAATTCACTAGTCATTATTTGCGAGTAGGAAAGCACACTTTGTCCAAGATTACTAAATACTTATTTTTGACTATATAATTATTTATATAAATTATATAAGCAAACTTATTGATTTATGGCCACAATTCCATGACAACCGTTGATTTGTAACACATTCAATTAAGCTTCTTACATAAGCAATCCAAAGGAATAGAACTTCCTTCATGCAAAGTTAAAAGAGCTTTATATTAGTTTGAGAAACATTTTGAACAAAATGCCAACTTCCAAACTAAACTACTAGAGAATTTCCAACAAAGATATAATTAAATGACTTTCAGAAAATACATTTTTTTCATCCAATTACATTAGCTGTTATCTGTCGCAGTTTAATGTACTTTTAGAGCTAATATAATGACTGTGTATTATTAAAATAAATAGAGTAGTGACTGATAATCGATTATAAAAACTTGATAGCGTTATTTTGGAGTTATACCCACATTATTGAAGAACTAAAAACGAATAAATGATCGATTACGAATTTTTAAGTACCTAGAATAAAAAATGATTAACATCAACATCTAGACCCTAATCAGTTTTGAACCAACAAGCAAATAATTAGTATAGATTATGCAATAATAAATAGCCATACAACAAAACTTGTCAAGGTTGAAATTTTAATTTTCTGGTCGATGACTAGTAGAAAATAAATATTCTCAGAGGTATGATTGAATTATTCAAAGTCAACGTCTTTTGGTCGGCTGAAGACTGGTTTTTCCGGCCGGTGTAACAAAATTTTCCTCTGTTTCAGAAAAATCCTCTTCACACGATTCCAACACTAGAAGACGGCGATTTCACTCTTTTCGACAGTCACGCCATCAACGCATATCTGGTGACAAAATACGGCAAAAATGACTCGCTCTATCCGAAAGATTTACAAAAGAGAGCCATTGTAGATCAAAGATTGCACTTTGACTCTGGAGTTGTTTTCCCCAGAATGGGAGCTATTGTTGTAAGTATAACGGGAATCTTGCCTTTAATTTTAATTTAACAACTTTGAACAAAACTGCCAGTAATATTTTTGCAATCTGTATGAAGTGTCTATATTATCAGCAATAAAACTGACTTGCAATCTATAAGTATACAACTCAAACAATTCTTTTTCTTATTTGTTTAAGATAAAAATTTGATTTTTTTGTATCCAATAATTTATACCAAATAAGCTCCTCCTGGAACCAAGTTTTTTTGCTAAGAACTGGATAAATTATATTGGGTCTCATTTTCCGGCTTTGGTAACTTCAAATGAATAAAAATTTGCTCACTGAAAAAAGTTTCTTGAAAAGCTTTTGAATCTAATTTCCAAACTCTGGCAACTTTAAATAATTAGAATTTACTCATAAACTGTGACAAAATTGAGATCTTAATAAATATTTTGGTAGCGTGAATAATTCTGTCACATCTAAGTTTACGTGGGTACCATAATTATGCTGAAAATTAAATTTAATCTGGAAAGGATCTTAAATACCAAATTTTCCGAACCGGAGGCAATCCAAACAAAAACCTCACTTCTTCTCTTCTTCGGTTATGGTTAGTGCAAAGGGTTATAGATTCAAGATGACTTACCCTTTTATTGCCAAAGTTGCTAACTCCCCTCCTCAATTGCACAAACCGGCACGAAAGATCTTTTTCAGCCACTACCAGTGATTAGAGCAATTTATGACACCAAAAATGAAAACTCCTTCTTTGGAGAGCTTTTTCACTAATCACTGAGTGGTAGATGAACTTAGGAGAAGAACGGATCGAGCGACGACTGTGACGAACACTAACTCGTTAAGTTTTTGTTTTATTCAAACAATTTCCGACGATAACTGCCGATAACTGCATCAACTGTCGTTTAAATAAGCGAGAGAGAACCAACCCCTATTTCTTGAGGGTACTGCTCTTAGCAGCTCATTGGCTAGCTGTTAGTACCTAGCCTTCTCAATATTCCTTATTGCTCTTTCCTTATTGGTTCTCGTATCGTTCACCCTATTTACACCCTTAGTGACATAGTTTGAAAGCCTTCCAATAGAGTTCGCTAGTCATATGAAGAATATAATTTTAATAACTGAAAATTACCGGTTTTCCTTTAATTGGAAAATCTTGCTTTCTTATATGTCTTCTGTTAACCTAGTTAAATGAAACAAACAGTTTCTTAATTACTAATGTAACTGAGAAATAAACCTAATTACTTAGCCTAATCAACGGCGTGAAATGAATTAAATTTGTTGGGTACTCGCTGGTCACTTTTTCATAAATAATGTAAATTTATTTCGGACAAGACAGTATTTATTTTCCACTCATACATAATCTTTTTTAATTTTTCATGAACCCCTCTCTCTAGCCCTCTGTCAAGTCAAGAATTTCAAAACAATGTCACTGCTGTCAACGCCATCCATCATAATAACGCGCGAAATTCAAATTCAAATTAAATGGCGCTAACAAATTATTCTATACTTAAATACTAATTATGCCTAAAATAATTGGGTAGTTAACTATCTCCTTTCTTATCTTATTTGTTAATAACATTTAATTCCTACAGTTTTCATTTCACCCTTGATTTTCCTATTACTATACAATTTTATGTTATTGTATCTTGGAAAATCTGGTTCCCGTAATCATTGTTTTAGCCCACACACATACTTCGATTATAAGTTCAGTATCAGTTCTCTAACATCTGGGTTCGCCATAAAACGTTGGGAATTATCGTTCTTGAATACTTTATTACAAACATATGTCGTGATCTGGTGCAGCTACAGATTAGAATCACATTTGGTGTTTATCTAGGAGAACACATAATTTTGCCTAATAAATTTGTCAATTTTGGCTTATATTTGACTTGAAACTATAAAATTTGATAAATTTTTTTGCTTAAGTGCTTTCCCTTAATTCTCGACCAGACTGGTAACTCCCATGAAATACGTACTTGAACCGAAATTTGAAATTTATTAATCCTGTTACAAAACCTGGAAAAAGTTTATAAGCTTGTGCCTAGTTTCTTTGGAAACCTTGAATACTTTTACAGACAGAGTATAAATACTAATATACATTCCAATTCCAGGGTGATCTACTCCGAGGTGGCGCCAAAACCATTGCAAAAGAAAAGGCAGATCTCGTCTCCCAAGCCTACCAATCCTTAGAAGTCTTACTCGAGGGTAAAAACTTCGTTGCAGGCAACGAAGTCACAATCGCTGACTTCAGCTTAGTATCGACAGTGTCCAGCTGTAACTCAGCTATTGTACCCATAGCCAGCAACACTTATCCCAGGATCACCGCTTGGTTGTCCAGGATGCAAGCCTTACCTTATTACGAATCCAACCAGGTTGGATTGGATATTTTCAGGCAGATGATACTGAGCAAACTTGCTTAGAGGGCAATTATTTAAGTTTGCCTTTGGAAAATTGAAATTTATGTTGTAATTTAATGTTGCTTTAATTAATGTTCTAAAATAAATTTATTTGAAATTACAAAGCTTGTAATTTTAATTCATTTGAATTTGAAAAAAATATCAGTGGCAACACTGGCAACAACAACCAATTTGTTTTCAAGTACAATGGGTTCAAATTTATAAATAGTTTGTAGATAATAATATGGTTTATCCGTGCCTTCTTGTATTTACCAGATTTATTAAAGTTTATTCTATACACGACGAATAATATGTCTACAAAATTGTATTATTATGAAGCTAGTGCGCCAGCTAGATTCATTTTAATGCTAATTAAAGCATTAAATCTTGATGTGGAGTTGATTCGAATTGATTTAGTAGAAAAAGAACATCTAAAAGAATCATTTTTGAAGGTAAGTTTTGTGGAGGTGTAGGTATTCTTATAACATTTGAGTTTGATCTTTGAAAGATTTTTTGGAATTTAAGCGATTGCTGAATTTATTTTTCAGTTAAATCCAACTCACACTGTACCAACTCTAGACGATAATGGATTTGTTGTATGGGATAGCCACTCCATAGCTCAGTATTTGGCTGACAAATTTGACGAAAAAGGCACATTTTATCCAAAAACCCTGGAACAACGAACCATAGTGAATCAAATGTTATTTTTTGAGTCAGGTCTATTGTTTCCGGCTATGGCAAATGCTGTTAGGCCCCTTTTCTATGATAACGCAACCTCCATACCAGTAGAGAAAATAAACGCGATCGAAAATGCTTTGGGATTTTTGGAAACCTTTTTAGGAAGGAACGAGTATTTAGCAGGTGAATATCTATCTATTGCAGATATTTCTGCTTTAGCTACAGTGAACACAATAGAAATTTTCTATAAGATAAGTGAAACGAAATTTCCTAAAGTATTCTCATGGCTTGTTAAATTGAAAGGTCAACATTTTTATGAGGCTAGTTTAGAAGGAATTGAAAAGTTTAGAAATATGTTTGTACCACTTTTAAAATAAAATGTTTTAATGGTTGACGAATTATTTTTTTATTCGATTTACCCAGACAGCACAGAGACATCTTGAAGACGTCCTAAGATGTCCAAAAACGACATTAAAGACGTCTTTTAGACGTCTCCTTACGTCTTCAAGGCGTCTCAAAGACATCTTGAAGACGCGTATGTTACAAAACCCAACGCTTTCAGACGTCTGCCTAAACACAGAACTGATATTTAATAATTATTACTCATTTCAATAACTTTCAATTTTTGTCTATTCCAAACGCTAGGCTCTTATATTCTTGATTTTTTTAAACGGAAACACATACCTACTTAACATTAATTTTGAAAAAAAATATTAGAAAGCCAGGAGTAAGTTAAGAATAAAGAAAAAGGAAAAATCAAGAGCCTGGACTGGAACAGGAAAAATGATAAAAAATCAAGAATTTCAATTGAAAGAGAAACATTTTCTTGCTACCTAAATATTTCCTTATTATTATTCATTTTATAACTGTCAAGCGTATCGGAAATTAGCCAATATAATTCATAGAAAATTTTATTTACTTTCATTTTGTATAGAGGTATTTCCTTCAAAAAATGTATAGTTTCCGAATTATAAGCAAATGACTGCCAAAACTACAATTTTTTTCACTTTTTTGCATTTTTTTTAATGTTGCGTCACGAAATTTTGTTAGCAAACCTCAGATTCGGATTCAGCACACCAAACAACATAAAGAATGCAGAAAATCAAAACTACCCCAAACCTTTCCCGCGAGGGGCTTTTAATAAGCACAAATTTATTACTACTATTACGTGCTCAACGCATCTTAAAGACGTCGTACATTACAAAACCCAACATCTTATAAACGTCTTCATGATATTTTTCCAAGACATTCTAAAGGAGTCTTCAACGAGATGTCTTTGAGGCTTTTTGTGCTGTCTAGGTTGGGTAGGTATCCCAGAATGAGTATTTACACCAAAGACTCAGGCAAAGTTACGTAAAGAATCAAACATATGGCAAAATCGGTATAAAAAAGGATATATAAACGTATATTTCGAACATTACGAAAATCTGAAAACAATACAGAACAATAGTCCCATGAAACTAAGACAAAATACACAATAATTAAATGTATATTATAACTGAACAAACAATAAGATACCTACTATTAAATCAAAGAAAAATCCTTAAAAATACTTCAATAAACCTCTCAAATGTAGAGCAAAATTTATCAAAAAACCTTTCGTCAAATATAAATTGCTTAAAAAATAGATACTTATTATATAAATAAATTGTTTTCCCTTAGCAGGGACAACAACAAGATCTTTTCTGTAACAAATCCCTCAACTGATTCAAGCCATTTTGATTTTCGACGTAGCACGGCAAATTTTCGGCTCTTTCAATCCAATTGGACAAATTCGGATAATCTTGTTTGCTAATCGGCAAAACTACATTCAAAGACGTGATAGCTGGAATAAGACTCAGGTCGGCAATCGTCAGTTTTTTGCCAGCTATCCAAGGGAAACATCTAAGAAATTTTTCCATTAGCGCATAGGTTTTGTAGATGGATTCTTTGTGGTCTTCGATATCGATTTTGACGTTTTCATAAAGCATTGGATTCTATAGATAAATCATAACTCATTATAATGTAATGATTTTGTACAAGATAATACTCACCAAGATTGTCCTAGTAAAATTGTTTATAACAGAAGATTCAAAGTGCAATCTTTGATCAATAAGGGCCCTTTCCATGATGTCTTTGCTGTAAAGTTCGTCGTCGTTTCCGTATTTACCGATCAGAAATGAAATTATGGCGTGGCTGTCCCAAATTACGAAACCATTGTCGATGAGCGTTGGAATGGTGTGCTGAGGGTTGATCTGCTGAAGCAAAATTTTGAGAATTAGCCTTCTATATTTTTGGCCTATTCCTGGGCTTCTGCAATAATTTCTCTATACAAACAATTTAAGAGAGAATCAGACTATATATTCTACGTTTTTCATAAACATATTTGATATTGCCACCACTGTATCTATCTATACTTGGCTGCGTCCGCTAAGGGTTTATCCTGAAGAATTCACCACTAGTAGTTAAGAGTTAATATATCTAATGTTACAGCTTTATTTATGTAGGAGATAATTAAATAAGATTTAGCAAAAATATATCGTAGTAAATGTTCTTCCCTGGTGGGCCATCATTTCACATTCCCTTGGAATGCCTATTTTTAGGGAAAGCCCTACGCTGTCAATAGTACCCAAACAGTCCTATGAAAATGTACCCTTGAGGAGCTTAGTTTCCATAGGTCTAGGTTTGGGGCGTTGAGTGGGGCTTCTACAGCATGACATTCACCTTAGGATCTCAGTCGTACTGTAGCAAGTCACACCCAACTTGGAGATAATCCACCTTTCATCTTTCGTCGCAAACAACAGACAAAGGTCAACTAATTATACTTAACTTGTACCATAATAATTAAAGTATAGATATTATATTTTCAAGTTTTAACACTATCTGCGTCATATAAGCAAAGAGAGCTGTGATGGATCGGAAATTCCAATAAGAAAATTAAAAGTAACTGAAAATACTTCAATAAGAAACTTATATGTATAAGTGGGAGACATGCAAGAAATATCATTTTACTTTAAAAGCAATTATAAATAGCTAATATAAAAAATTGAATTGGGTCTAACCTTAACAAAATTAGGAGCCAATTGTTCATTTTTGCAAAGATCAATCTTCTTAACTTTCAAAGTTAATCCCAAAATCCTAGCGGTCATCATAACTGCCCTGCAAGAAGGGCTAATCTCAGACATGTACAGAGTAGGTGCCATTTTATCCTTAGGTAAAATTTGAAAAACTTATCACTGATAACAATTACGCCTCTTGTATCGCTAGACCGCAACTGAAATCGAGACACTTCGAATTGTATTTTTATTTGGGTTTTATTATTATGTCAAAATAAAAGGTTAAAGTTTGCGAAACTTATCTCGAGTTGTTTTTATGTGATAAAATTATAGAATTATTAAGCTCCCCGGCTATCATCGTGACTTTTACAATGTTGCCCTGATAATGGAAATGTGTTGATTTGAAACGAGCAGTTGCAAAATATGGCAAAAATATTGTTTGTTTTTTAATATTGAAACATACATAATAATGTTTAGCATTATGCAATTTTTCTGCGCAATTGGATTACCCAAAAACTGGTTCGGTTTTATTGATATCTAGAAAAAAACAAATATGATAGGCTGAAAGTAGATATTTCAAAAAGTTGTAGACATAGTCTGTTTCTCTATGGTTGTAGAAATTGAGCCAACATTGAATCAAGAGTAGGTAAAGTTCGCCTTACGAGTCTAGCACTATGGAAAGAATGTGGATAAAAAAATTGCAATATTGCCTATTTGACTTCTAATAGAAAATACCTTAATATTTATCTATGTTATACACCTACATTTATAAGGAAAAAGTAATATTTGAAAACGCTGCGCGCATGCCGATGACAGGCAGCATAAAGCTTGAATGAATGGCGTTATTCCCCCTTTCCCTTCAGACGTCGTAGTGCTAGACTCGTAAGGCGAACTTTAGTTTGCATATTCAATTTCCTATACAATACATCACTGCAATAATTTCAATTCATTAGATGTGTTTTAAACTAAATTTTTACTTTTGTAACAATGTAAATCTATAATCAGCTACTCTCAGTTAATTATTAAGGAGACAACATTATTTTTCCATTGAAGTATCTATACCTACTCACTTATGAAATTAAACATATCAGATCCATCAACTTCTAATAGTTTTAATACTGAAAGCCTTGAAAGATTAACATTTCTGTGCTTTATTTTACTTATGTAACTTTTGCAGGTAGGTACAAAATTTGTTATCGGTCAAAAAATTTAATCTCTCAAGTACCTAGTTTAGTATTTTCGAGAGCATTGTCAATAACTTCACTGGGAATTATCAGTCTTTCCCTTTCCTAATGAATCTAATGGTAAAATATGCCTCTCTTTGTAGGACTTGAGGGAACCCCAGGGAAGCTATGAATCGATTTCTGCATGTCAGAAAACTAAGAGACACCATAATTTTGGTAAAAATTAGAATGTGAACAAAATTTATTTAATAAATTTATTAAAACGTTCCCAATAATTAACAAGATAACTTATAAACAATATAACATAAACATACAATAAATAAATTACATAAAAACAGAATATTAATCTGTATAACAAAAAAATTGAGCATTTTTTTCATTGCTATATTTAAAAATGTACCTAATTTTTCACCTAATTCTATTCGAGTGACATTCAATTTACAATAGAATAACAAAAAAATTTAGGATCAAAATAGGCAAAGCTGCCAATTTATTAGTATTAACAAATACTCAAGCCTGCCCTATATAAGAGTAAAGTAAATTTTGTATTCAATTGAAAACATACCAACTATATATATACAGGGTATACCATTCAAAACGAAACAAACAGGCTAAATATCTGATGACACTTTTATTTTTTGAAAAATCGCTCGTACATGTAATTTGATTGAGTGGATGGGACGAATCCTTACCATTCCAAATGGAACAGGGGGTCGAATGATACCTGTTTTGAAAGAAAGTTATAGTCATATTGATGTGCTAAAAATGATTGCGGCAAACTTCCCCCTTTGAAAATCAAATTACCTGTACGAGTGATTTAAAAAAAAAAATAAACGAGGCATTAGATATTTAGCCTGCTTCGTTTTAAATGGTACACCCTATATATATCACTTTATAACAACAATAGCCTAAAATAAATATAATATAATATGTAATTAAAATTTGAACTCAACAAAAAATATCTATACTAAAATCCACTTGGAGGGGAAATATGTTACAAATCAATTAATATAAAGTACCACACAGTTATAATGAGCTTCCAGAGTTGTGTGGTATTTTAATAATTGAATCATGGCCACATATCCTCTCAAATAAAACAATACACTTTTGTCACTAAATACCCATTCCTACATACAATAATTTTAATTTTGATCAACTGGCATTAATTACTACAACGTATATAACAAGATTAGGAATTGAACATTCACTATCACTAACCATATTTGTATAACAAAATATAAATATCACGAGGCATTATATTTAACAATTAAAACTATAGCTATATATGAGCAATTTAAAATTTCCTAAAAACACAAAACAAACATAATTAACTAACATTACCAACGATGCCTGCAGCTTCCATTTGCTGTTTGCGATGATGATAAAGATGGACTCGTAGGCAGCTCTGGTTCCTCATAGTTTTGCCGCACACTTGACAATCCAAATCTGTAGATTTCGATTCGTGCTTGTCGCGGATGTGGACTTTCAGGTTGTAGCGGTTGACGAATTTTCTACAGCAATACGGACAGAACACGTGGCCTTTGGCGTCCGTTGGATAGAGGGTAGAATCTAGGAAATATGAAAACAATTTTAATGTTTTGCATTTGATCAAACTTATACTGACTTTTTCATGCTATCAAAAACAATGCTTTCTGAACTTGAAGAAAAATGATTCAACACTTTATCAAGGATAACTGAAGTTGTTTTTGCCTTACGCAGAAGGATGGTGTAAGAAAGCTTATACTTTGTAGGAAGTTACCACTCTCAACAAGTTTATAGAGTAATACCTCCATGACTGATAGTCTTCGTTCTTCCAAAGTTTCATGTCAAATCATTAATAAGCATCTTGCCTCATAGTCAACATTCCTTGTTGTTGCAACCTTTAATTGAGAAGAATGAATTTGCAGAAGACAAGGAGCTTGTTCCTATGTGGCATCACAAATAAAGCAACGTTATAATGTAAAAATCCTACCATACAGTTTGCTCAGCAAAGGCATTGAATGCTACTCTATATTCGAAAACCCTCAAAAGTCATTGACTGACCCCATTTGGTATTTCTCATTGAGGGTGTACAACTTATCAACCTGTAGGTGTTTACAGATTTTAAAAATGTAAATTTTTGTGTCCTGGTCAAAAGTTACGAGAATTATTAAGTTATTGTGTTTCAAGCCTGTCCAAGATATAGTAGGTGTTATATTACCTTCAATTTGTAGAACTGTATAGGATCTTTTGCAACTTCTAATCTAACTTATTGATTAATTTTCAAATTGCTAGATCAGCGGTAAGTTTTTGATGATTGGTCAGTTTAATAATGATTTGTTGCATAATACAATGTGGGACGAATTTGCCAGGTCATTAACGATCATATAGTTTGATATTTAACATTTCAAAAAACTATTTAAATAATATAATAAAAATTTATTAAGGCACATACATTTCAATAAATATTTTGAACATTTGACATTAAAAGCAAATAATACAGAAATTAAATTATAGTTAGGTACCTACATACTTATATTGAAGTAAATCAAAATTAGTGACTAGCCTTTAGCTATAAACAAACCTAAATACCTAAAACATAAATGATTAAACTCTCATAATTAAATAATAATTGTGAAGTAAAACGTAATTTTTGGTTTTTCCCTTTTATATCAAATACTTAATTGATAACATTGTTCTAGCAAACATTTCCAAATAGCAATTTACCCAATGGATCTCTAATAGAGAATTTAGGCAATGCAGCTTGTTAGTTGGGTCAGGGTAGGTTCCAGGAACCCCTCAACTAAACCAGTTAAAGCAGTACCCAGATCCCGAACCCACAATTCGATAGTATCGTCCATATAAATTACATAGACAATACTATCGAATTGTGGGTTCGGGATCCGGGCCCAGGTTGATGTGTTTGGAAACTCTTGTTAAAACAAACCTAACAAAAAGTAATTTACATAAAAGCTACTTTTTCTGCATAATCAGTTCTATTAAAATACACAATAAGATAAAATAAATATTTAACTTTTAAAAAAATACATGAAAAAAGATAAAAAGTGCACTTTTTGTTTTTTATGAATTGAGAAATCTACGCTTTGACTTCCACTTTTTGTACCATATCGTTTAAATTCGTAAAATGAAACTTGGAAATATGTTTCCTAAGGCTCTCGGTGTTTTTGTACAATTGTTCACAAATTAGGCACTTAAAAGGTCCTGCGTCTGATCCGTGAATATTTTTCTCGTGCGTCCTTAAATGGTCCCGTCTGGAAAACCTTTTCAGGCATTGCTCGCACTGATATCCATGTTTAAGTGTTGATTTTGTACCTGGAAGAAAAAAATCTACCTATATATTATATTATATCTGAAGGAACAGTAGAAAGAACTGTTAAAAATCTTAAGTCAGGTAAAGCAAGCGGCCTAGAAGATGCTGAAATGGGGAACTCAGAAGCTCTTCAAAGGTCTCAAATGTATTTTCCATAAATGCCTAAATGAATATCTTGTTCCACAAGACCGGAAAACTGCTTTTATATCATCCATTCGCAAAAAAAAGAAATAAGTTGGACTGCAATTACTATTGAGGTATATCAGTCACAAGCACACTAAGCAGACTATACGGTACAATCCTGCGTGATGAAGATTCTATAGAAAAAGAAGAAGAGCAGTCCGGCTTTAGAGCAGGAAGATCAGGTATAGACAACGTATTTTGCCTTAAACAAGTACGTTTATGGAACTACAAAAAGCAGACCATGGAAGGTATTAGAACAATCCAATATCAATCACACCCATATAACTGCACTCTAAGAATTATATAAAGACTCAAAATTAAGAATTAAGATAGGTAAAAAACTCACAGACACATTTATAATGAATAAAGGACAACGTCAAGGATGTTGTATCTCTCCTACGCTTTTCAAAATATGAGTAGCAGTAGCACTGAAAAATTGCAAGAGGAAGATCCATGGAATGGGTATAGAGATAAATGATAGAAGCATGTTTGCTCTTCATTTTGCAGATGATCAGGTCAGTGACAAAGAGGACATGCAATATATGATTAGAAAGCTGATAGAAGAGTACCAAGAATGGGGCCTGAGAGTAAATATAGATAAAACAAAACATCTATGTGTAGGAAACTTGGACGTGGACGATGGTCAGGAAATTCTGCAATGTCAGAAATATGAGTATTTAGGTATCACATTCGACAATACCGGAACAGATGTGAAAGAAATAGAAAAGCGAATAGTTTAAGCGAAAAAAGTAATAGGATGCCTAGATGGAATTCTATGCAGCAAGGAAATAACAAAGACAAAAAAATTCAATATAAAATATTATGAGACAATGATAAAGAGCAGCCTTCTATATAAAGCCAAGACTTGGAGAATTACAGACAGACAAAAAAGTAGAAGCAGTTGAAATGGATGCTATTAGAAGATCCATGTGAATCTCACGAAGAGAGAGAATAAAGAACGATCATATACAACAACAAATAAGAATGGAAGGTACGATGGTTCAGGACATTGAAAAGAAACAATTTACGTGGTACGGACATGTAGAACGAATTCCAAATACCAGGTGATCCAGAAAAATGGTGCATTGGCAACCAACAGGTAGAAGAAAATGAGGAAGACGAAAACTGAAATGGCAGAAGACCATACAAAAGTCCATGAGTGGAAAAAATATCTCATTAGAACACTGCGACGAGGAAAAAATCTTCAATTCATGATGAAAGCTGGAAAGCAAAAGTGCAGGAATAACAGTAAAAGATAATGAAAATGGAAAAATAATAAATCAAAATTATAATAATTTTTGTAAAACCAGCAATATTCACCTCCAAAGTATGAGGGAAACGAAAAAATTAGTCCAAGAGGAGATCAGAAATATAAATGAAATCAGAAGAAATAATATTTCTGAGGGTGTCCTTTCTGTCTTTCACACTTTTATAACTCAAATGGAAAGTCCCCCACCCAACCAATACTACAAAATAAGACAAATTCGTGCATTCTAACACTACTGGAAATAATAAAAAATTTATTACCTATTTACCAAAATTTATTTCAATTAAATAAAGTAAAAGTACCATTTATAAATTGCAATTATACGAACCTTGTTTTATCTAATGTCGGAGCTATTTGCGATTTATAGCGTAAAAGTCATGCCATTAATTTGGAAGTTATCCTATAGTCTTCAAAAGGCTGCAAATGGTTCAAAAATACTGCAATTTAGTTTTTGTTATTTCTAGCTGCTATTAGTAAATTGTTAACAATGCTACTTACCATGCAAAAAAAAAAATAACTGAAGTTAGAAAACACAAAACAAATAATACAAGCTAAAGTTGAAAAAAAAAACACGATTGTACTCTATACAACTATCTACTGGTTAGATTTTTGATTAAAAAAAAAAACATGCAAAAAAAATCAATGTTCAAATATAATTTATACAAAACTTACCTTGTTCTGTATTACTTTGTTCCAAATTACAACTTCCACTAGGCAATTCCATCTGTGATTGACTGGTCCATGCACTTGCACCACTCTTAGAATAATCTTTGGCTTCATCATTGTCATTATTGTCTCCTCTTGCTAGAGTATTGGTATTAAAATCACAGCTTTTATAGTCTATAGGCTTTGGTATATCACTGGATTCAGTTTTCATTTTTTTTGGATTTGATGGTGATAGTAATTTCGAGTGTTTTTTTGAACAGTTCAGGGGTAGGGGAGATGTTTGAGGAGGAGGAGGTGTGTTTTCAGGATAGGATAAATCGTCAGTTGTAGTTTCTATGAGTTGATTGTAAATTTCATTGTCGTCTTCTGGGATTTCATCTTTTTTTGGTGGACATGGTTCTTCATTCTGGAATGAATTGTCTAATATAAATCAAATTCACATTAGGTATAGGTGAGTGGTTTTGTTAAACATTTCATTAAACAAAAAAATTTCATATATTATACAAGGTTTTTACACAGTACTGCTTGAAAACACCAAATTTGACCTGTTGAAACTAATATACAAGGTTTTCAAAGTTGAAACAATTCTGCATGAGCCCAAAACAAGTAGTCTTTTGAAAATGATCAATAAAACTTTGGGGCTTAGGTTTGGTGTCTAAATAAATACCAAGATCCATAATGATAGATTCCTTTTCAAGGGGCATTTGTTAGATGAGGGGCTGAAATTGTGAAAAACAATATAGAATGACCATATGCTGGGAATTTGGGTTCTATTCAAATAGACTATTCAAAATTTGGCCAGTGGAAAACAACAACATGAAAAATCTTGGAAATCAACCTACAATAACTGAATTAGTTGGAAATACAGTCTCACACATTTCAAAGTTTTCCTGGAAAACTAGCGAAGGGAAAATTTCGAGGAAAATTTTGAAACTTTTTGCATGTAAAGAAGAAGGTAAGAAGCTCATTTTCCCAAAATATCAAATTTTTCCAGTGGAAAATAACAACATGAAGAATCTTGGAAATCAACTTACAATAACTGAATCAGTTGAAAATACAGTCTCACACATTTCGAAGTTTTCCTAGAAAACTAGTAAAGGGAAAATTTTGAAACTTTTTGCATGTAAAGAGGAAGGTGAGAAGTTCATTTTCCCAATATTTAAATTTTTCCAGTCGAAAATAACATGAGGAATATTGGAAATCAACCTACAATAACTGAATTAATTGAAAATACAGTCTCACATATTTCAAAGTTTTCCTCGAAAACCAGTGAAGGGAAAATTTTGAAACTTTTCGCATGTAAAGAGGAAGGTGAGAAGCTCATTTTCCCAAAATTTCAAATTTTTCCAGTAGAAAACAGCAACATGAAAAATCTTGGAAATCAACCTACAAAAACTGAATAAGTTGAAAATACAGTCTCACACATTTCAAAGTTTTCCTCCTAGAATACTAGTAAAGGGAAAATTTTGAAACTTTTTGCATGTAAAGAGGAAGGTGAGAAGCTCATTTTCCCAATATTTAAATTTTTCCAGTCGAAAATAACAACATGAGGAATATTGGAAATCAACCTACAATAACTGAATTAATTGAAAATACAGTCTCACACATTTCAAAGTTTTGAAACTCTCGATCACATATTTCAAAATTTTGAAACTTTTTGCATGTAGGTACCTAAAGAGGAAGGTGAGAAGCTCATTTTTCCAAAATTTCAAATTTTTCAGTGGAAAATAACAACATAAGGAATATTGGAAATCAACCTACAATAACTGAATTAATTGAAAATACAGTCTCACACATTTTAAAGTTTTCCTGGAAAACTAGTGAAGGGAAAATTTTGAAACTTTTTCATATAAAGAGGAAGGTGAAAAGTTCATTTTCCCAAAATTTCAAAATTTTCCAGTGGAAAACAGCAACATGAAAAATCTTGGAAATCAACCTACAAAAACTGAATTAGTTGAAAATACAGTCTCACACATTTCAAAGTTTTCCTAGAAACCTAGTAAGTAAAGGGAAAATTTTGAAACTTTTTGCATGTGAAGAGGAAGGTGAGAAGCTCATTTTCCCAATATTTCAAATTTTTCCAGTGGAAAATAACATGAGGAATATTGGAAATCAACCTACAATAACTGAATTAATTAAAAATAGTCTCACACATTTCAAAGTTTTCCTAGAAAACTAGTGAAGGGAAAATTTTGAAACTTTTTGCATATAAGTAAAGAGGTAGGTGAGAAAATCATTCTCCCAAAATTTCAAATTTTTCCAGTGGACAACAGCAACATGAAAAATCTTGGAAATCAACCTACAAAAACTAAATTAGTTGAAAATACAATCTTACACATTTCAAAGTTTTCCTGGAAATATAGTGGAGGGAAAATTTTGAAACTTTTCGCATGTAAAGAAGAAGGCGAGAAGCTCATTTTCCAATTTCAAATTTTTTCAGTGTAAAATAACAACATGAAAAATCTTGGAAATCAACCTACAAAAACTGAATTAGTTGAAAATACCTTCTCACACATTCCAAAGTTTTCCTGCAAAACTAGTGAAAGGAAAATTTTGAAACTTTTCGCATGTAGAGAGGAAGGTGAGAAGCTCATTTTCCCGAAAATTTTAAATTTTTTTAGTGGAAAATAACAACATGAAAAATCTTGGAAATCAGCCTACAAAAACTGTATTCCTTATTCTTTTGAACTTTTTAAATTTGGACCTGTTAAGTAATCATGTAGTGTAATTTTGGGAGGATTTCTTTAATAAAAATGAATACCTATCCAATGTCCAACACAAAAATGTATTACTATTTCTTATAATAAGAATGTGAACCTCAGTGACGTCATGACCCTACAATTTCCTTTAAATTCCTCATAAATTCCTCACAAATTCCCTATAAATTCCTCCAAATTCCCTATAAATTTTCCAAATTATAATAAATTCCGATGAGTTCCTTCAAATTCTCCACAAATTCCTCTAAATTCCCCACATTTTTAGCAAAGAATTCCTAGGTGATTTGCTTCTTGGACAAATTCAACAGTACTCGGAAGATAACAATTAAGTAAGATTGTTTGATCCTCGGTTTGATCAATGCAACATGTAGGTAGTAACAAAAAAACATCTCCATCAGCTTTTAGTTTGCCATGACGAGAGTAAACCAGACAACTGGAAAAATTATACATCAAGATACTGAGATTTACCCTATCAAAAGGCTTACTAAAAGTTAATGTACATTGTGCGAGCTTAAGATCCTTATGGAAATGAATCATTGATGATTGATAAAAAAAAGTTAAATTTGTTTTAACAATTAATAAGGTTTAACCTCGGGTTTAACAATAACTACCCACTGAAATAATTGATAATTTTCAAGGTAGTATTTCAGAATACTTTGAACTCAACTTTGAATGACTTTGTATTTGAAAATGTAAGGTAGTGAGAAATGGACAAATGGACCAGATGTTGGTATGGAACAAACACAATTAATTTTAAAAACAAAACTTACCGAATCCTCTCCAGTCAATCCCTTGACCTGTAAAACTTCAGCAGTTCTCAAAAACGAAGACAAATTCTCTCTAAGCACACTAACTTCTCCCATGTACATAAACTGTAAAATATCCTTCATATTTTCATGTCCGACATCTTTCAAAATCACTATAGGATGTTTGCAAGGGTTTTCTTTGAACATTTGTTTAAAATAAGGGCTGCAAATAGACAAAACTACTTTGTGGGCTTGTAAAAAATGTCCATCTACAGCCAGGGTGACATCTACCATTTCGGCTAGTTGGAGTAATTCGTGGAAGCCTGATGTTATGTTTGAATGAAAGTTGTTCCATCTCAAGGAGAATTGTTCTGTTGTTACTGTGGAAGACATTTTTTTGAACCTAGAAAAAAATATATTAGCTGTATTATTTTATCAGTATTTGGTTATTATTTGATAATATTTCAAATGGTCAATAAACTTATTGATAGAATTCCTTTGTTGAATCTTAGAATAAAAACACATGCAGTGGACCACTTGCACATCTTTGCCTAAATTAAAGCTTTTTTAATGGAAAACTCATGTAACATGAAACAAAAAATATCAAATACCTTTAAAAGTAATAAATTCGTGTACCTACAGCTATATAACAAGGCACTTAATTAGGTAGGTACTCAACTATATGAACTTTGTTTCAGGATTTAATCAATATACTTATATACCTTGCACATAATGTTGTAATCTCAACTCGTTAAAATTAAAAAAAAAAACTTTATCTCACCTGAAAATAGAATTGAAATACAAGTAGTACCTACAACCTAAGGAGGAAGCACTATTTAACTGGCAGGAAATATGTAATTATGTAGCAATAAAAAGTGCATTTATTCAATAAATACAAATAATTGTTGAATAAGCATATTTAAATTATTCAAATACCTAATTGCTTTTTACAGCAGATACTACTGAAATTAATGAAGTAGTTAGTTTTAAAAGTGATTATGAAATATCTACTACTTGCAATTTGGGGTACTCTTATCAAATATAATATCCAAAAATAGAAACTGGAAGGATTTATTATTTTGATAAATAAATATGTTTTTAATATTCTAAAGGAGATCTATATAAATTCGTTTCGAGTTTACTTGGCCTTTAACTTGATAAAAGCTAAAAGAACCGTTTCTTTCTTTGGTTATCTTTTACTCGGGGGGTCCTTAATCAAAGATATCTTATATGCTACTAGAATTTTCATTCTCTATATTTTAGAACCAATTTAATTGAATGTATTCTACTAGGGCAGTTTGTATTAATGTTAATAATACATAGGCTCGTACATAGGTGTATTTTTATTGTTAGTTAGTACATATTTCGTGTCTTAAATCTAATCCAAAAACTGTATTGTCTTGACCCTTGATCCAATTGCCACTCACCTTCAGGATGTTTTCAGATTTTGGTAAATTTTCAGTGGACCTTGCACTAATAGTTTAATTTCCAAATTTCCACTAGTTTTCTGTACCAATGTTTACCACTTTTTCAGCCTTACATAACACCAACAAAGGAATTTTAATTGTAAACAAAACAACCAGTTCAGCGATATCATGGGAACAACCCTAATTATACACCGAGTTGTGTTGTTCTGTTCTGTTCAGTTCTTTATAAATTAACCATTTCCGTAAGTACCAATCCGGGCATCCGGGAATAAAATTAAAAATACAACTGAGTGAAGTGATTGACGGTTGATGGCATGGCAATGTTGCCGCTGTTGCCAGAGCTGCCAGGTATTCGATTGTGTGGGGATCAGGCAGGATCAGTGCCAGAGATCAGAAAGATACTGCAACAGCTTCAGCCTATGATGAGTTCAGATAATCTGAGTCTTCCAGTCGAAGGAGCCTAAAATCATCTTTTCAGAATTGGAGAATTGGCTATCATCTCCACCTTTTGACCAGTAAAAAGTGGATCCCTTTAACATAGTTCTTTTAGCTTTCTTCTCATAGTTTGGTGAGTCAAACAAGAACACCTTCCTCCTCATCCTGATCGAAACTTTTGCTGGAGTGTACTAGTAGACTCCTTTGTATTTTGGTAAATTGGAAGTTTCGTTCTTGATCAGAATTCCACAGAAAAGCCGAACTCGTTTTACTGTGGAAGATTTCTTTGCTTGAATACCTTGAGGTATTCTGATCCTGATGTATTTGTTTGTATTAGAAAAGAGTCCAAATTAGTTCAAATGGTATGACATGCAAAGACGGTACTGCCTGACCAGATCATTCGAGGTGAGCTTCCTAAGCATGGGAACTTGGCATAACGGAGACCAAAAAACAAGATCTGACCTGATATACAGACGGGTCGAAGACCGCGTCTGGTACCGGAGCAGGGGTATATATACTCCGCCAACTATAGCGATTAGGGCTTCGCAAGACTGGCCAGTCTTGGTCTTGGTCTCGAAAAATAAATGCGGTCTTGGTATTGGTCTTGGTCTTGATAATTCAAGACCAAGACAAGACTGGCTCAGTCTTGGTCTTGGTCTTGGTCTTGGTAGTCTTGAAAAAAATTTATACCAAATTTTTAAAATATACATAACATTTAACGACAGAGCAGAGATAATGGGTTTAGGACTTCAAAAATAAAAAAAAAAACTTTCCTTTTTGAAAAAATTATGCCGACGTTTCGACCATGCATTCGGTCTTCTTCACAGGCTATTTTTACCAGCAAGAGCGTTTCATGTCAAAAAATACCCCATAAAGCATTACACAACTATGTCCACAACCCAGATGAATAAACAAACATCAATTCTTAAATTATGATTTTTATTAACGGAACAAAACACATCATAAAATTGCCATTCTGTACCGAGGAAAAAAATGAATTTCTTTTTGAATCATAGATTAAACCTACCTACCTACCTGAGCATTCAGGCCAAAGAAAGGTTTTGGAGAACCCTGACATAGTCACATACCTCATTTGAATTTTATTGGGCTATTCACAATAATTAGATTTGGGTGAGATGTCGGGTTTGTGTTAGTTAATTAGTTAAGAATTATCTCTGGAAATTCCAATACTTAGGTATTAATTGTATTATGTAGGGATAGGCAAATATCGATGTATTCTGTGTAAATGAATGTTACCTACACTATGTTGTATGTACGTATTTTGAAAACCTATTTCAAAAAATAATAAATTTGATAAATTTGATTTAATTAAAAGACATTAAGAGAAGATATAGGAATTTGCATATTTTTATAAATATTGAGTCGATTTTTCTTTTCAAGACCAAGACCAAGACGAGAGTCTTGAGAGAGAGTCTTGGTCTTGATCTTGGTCTTGCACGTCAAGTCTTGGTCTTGGTCTTGAGAAGATTTATGTCTTGGTCTCGGTCTTTGTCTTGGTCTTGCTACCAAGACCAAGACAAGACCAAGACTAGTCTTGTGGTCTCGCGAAGCCCTAATAGCGATCCACTATGCAGTGGGAATCGTGCCTCTGTTTTTGAACCAGAGGTATAGGCTATATTCCAATGCGCAGCAGAGAGCTAACAGGAGGGTCAAAAGCCAACAGGCAGATCCTTATGATAGTCCAGTGGCACTGGAGGCCCCTTTCGAGCCAGACATTGTCATCAAGACTAGTATGGGAATGCCAGGAAGAACTCAGGGCCCTATAAAGTAATCAGAATAATAGTTATTTATGTATCAAGGGTACTAAGTAGATGATTATGCCCTGAGGGCGACAGTCTTACAAAGCCGAGGGCCTCTGGCCCGAGGGTTCGTAAGTCGCCCGAGGGTATATATATCTATTAGTACCCGTGGTGCATACAAACTTTTATGTCATACCAGTTGGTTGTGAATAATAAATACCTGGGAAAAGAGTGTCACTTCGCAAATTGTCATCAGTGTGCAAACATCATCATTTTTTGACAAAAATATAGCTATTTATATAACAAGTACATAAAGTAAGGCTTTATTGTACGAATAATTTTATGGCCGAGCGAGCTTGCGAGCGAGGCTATTAAATAATGAGTCAATAAAGCCTGTTTATGTAAGCGTTATATACATTATTTTATGTACGATTGCGACTGGTTCTTGTTAAAAATTTTAAAAAATTAATGAAAAAAGTAAAATTCGCGTAGGTATACCTGTCCCAGATAACACAATGTGCGTCAATGTGCTCGAAAAGTTCCGGCCGACTTTGGAGAAAATAGTATTTCAATGGTAATGCTTTGGAAATATGCTAAAAGTGCGTATAATAAAACAAACCAAATCAAAATAAGCTAGCAGCATCGAAGAAATGCTCCTATTTCAACTTTTAAATTGAATGATCTGTAATGTGCAGGAGAACCACTGCAAAACCGCATAATTTTAGTGTGCGAATTAGCGGTACGCTAACAGCACTTCCTGAACACTTACCAAGGTACCGAAAGAATAGAGTCTGCTCTGAGTGCTCTACCTGCGCTGCCTGAGAGCCTGCAGTCGGCAGTGATTGATTATAGGTTTAGAGATACTCCGATCGTGCAGGTGGTGCACCACAGAGGTGCAACCCCCACCACACATATCAAATGTGGGAAGGAAAGGGATAAAAAAGCGACAAGAAGGCAAGCAGAAGCAAGGAAGCCTGAGCCGAAGCTGCCGGCTGCCGCCATTGCGCCATTTTTAATGTTTGCATTTTTGGGCATTTAGTTTCGTACGTGTTTGGGTTCTGTGCGTGTTTTCGGTTTCACTGGAAGAATAATGAGTTCCAAAGGGTAAGTGAGTGATGATTATCAAATATTAGTTATGGGTTAATCCAAATTATTTCGTTCTGCGCTGTATGTGGTGCTTGTAGGTGGTAATGCATGCGTGGTGGGTGTGTTTGTGTTTTCACTGTTTATTTAACGAAACTCTGCAAAATCGTATCAATTTTTTTAGGGCCTATACGACAAGAATTTATTGCAAAATAAGTTCACTTTATTAGATGAACGTTTCTCCCTTTAGGTAGGTACCCGACGAAGCTGCCAAATTTGAAATCTGTCATTTCAAATTTTCCATCCCCAAAACGACTCCGATATGTATGAATTAATAAGTCTTTAATTGGGCATCTTATTTTCTCATTTGAGCCACGTACCCCCTGTACTTTAATAGTTTCCAAAAACCCCATTAAACTCATTTTATTTGGTGCCCTCTGTGTCTCGTATAGGAGATTTTAATTTAAGTATGATTTCTTTTTCAGGTAGGTACCAGGAAAAGCGAAGAAGAATTATTTAGAAGAAATGAATATGTTTTATTTTATTTTTTATTTATGTTTCCTATGTTTATTTATTAAAAGATCATAATTTCAAAATGTTTGTTTTTTATTTGCAATGGGCTATCAGTGAAATAAAAAATGTACTCAAAAAATACTTCAATGAAGTACTTTAAGAGTACAATATAAATTTACCAAAAAAAGATGTTCTAGTGGTGCTTTTTCTCTGTCGGAGAAGTGCTTTTATGTAGCATTTCACGAATACTTCCAACGTACGCTTGGAGCACTTAGAGCACTCCATGTTGGAAGTGCGCAATTGCAGTGCTTCTACGATTGCGCCTTTTTTTTACTGGCCGGCTGGACATCCCAGAAGCGGCTGAGTGGTTTTCACAAGTACTGCTCAGGCACGCAAATGTGAAAATACAGTACAATTGAAGTACTTTTCATGTAGTTTTGTGTTATCTGGGGTTTCACCTTGGCAGGTTGTCAGGACCTGTTTCACCTAGCCAGGTAGTCCAGGTAGGCAATAAAGTAGCACTTTATTTTACTAGTAAAATAAAGTAGCACTTTATTTTACTAGTACAATAAAGTGCTTCTTTATTGACGCAAAACTGTTCTATAAATAGCACTTTATAGGTCAATCGGACATAAATATGTTTATGAGCGTAAATTTATATTTTGTTAATAAAGAATAAGTTAATTGAAAACTATTTTTTGCGTCTTTATGCCCGCGCGGTCCATAATGTGTATTTTATGCCCGCACGGGCATAAAGTAATGGATTATGTAGATGGTATCTTAGGTATAAAAACACAATAATGTATTGGTATGACATAAAAATATATAGAAAATAAAATAAAATATAACAGGTATTAAAATAAAAAGCAAAATAAATATGAGAATAAATGCCAAAAATTGAAATACATGTAAAATTAAAATAACAAACAGACGTGAAAATACAAATAAAAGTGAAAACAAAAATACAATTAAAACATAAGACAATGTATAAAAGATGCATAAATTAAATCATTACAATAAAAATTTGGAAAAAAAAAACATTACAATCTTAAAATAAAAACATTACAATAAATAGCCAAGACTAGGCGAGGTGAAAGAACCAGGGACCCGGACCGGAACGATATTGAACCGAAAACCGGAACGAAACCTTTTTTTTTTGCGGACCGGAACCGGAACGGTACCCATATTTCATAGAAATGTTGTAAGGGAGACAGAACCGGAACCGATATGAATGAATCGGTTTTTACCGGTATTTTTCGGTTTCAAGATTTCATAAATTAGGCTGTCTGCTGATTGTTCGTATCGTGAAAAATTTATTAATTTAATACTCTAAAAACAGAGCGTAGGAAAGCGCGCATTTCTGAACTAGGCAAGGCTACACCAAGGGATACTACACATTACACACTACTACAGGATTGCTCATTGGTCTTGATTTTTGGAATCAAGTTCATATGGTGTTGCACTGTTGCCGACGTCATCAACAGTGTCGTTAGCGGTTTGCGCCAGCGGTCGTAGTTAAGAATATACATTTATGAAGAAAAATATTTCATTTTGAATTAGCAAAATAGGCAAAGAGAGAGAGAGAAATAGGATGTTAATTAATGTACTAAAACAAATATGCATAAAGCAAATGTCCGCAGAATCATAGCCTATGGTGCAAACACCCTACGTCAAGGCGAGAAACCACACGCTGCGACGTCATCACTGATACTTTAATTTTCTGCTAAATATATTTTTTAAATTTTTCTTTTAGATATTTGTGAAAAACTATACCGGTATGAACCGTTAAAACCGAAATTAAGTATTGGTCCGAACCGAATCGAAATATTTCTCTTGGAACCGGAACCGTAACAGAACTGATATTTGTCATGACGCTGTGGACAGGAACCGGAACGGAACCGATATTTCATTCCAGTCCGGGTCCCTGGAAAGAACAATCAAAATACGTAAAACCTTAAGTCACATCATTAAAGAACTCGTTCAAACTAATAGTATGCTTTACCCGTCAGAAATTTCTTTACTTCTATACGAAGCCTCTTTTGAGTGTTGAGCTTTCTGATCTTTAAAGGGAGTTTATTTAAATAATTTTCTGCTTTCATATACAGTGTGTCCCAGGGAAAACAGTCCACCCCGATTTATTGGGTTTGGGATGAGAATCCGGGAAAACGCTCGGATACGTCGATGTTTGATTTGAGGGGGAACTATTTTTCAGTTTTTTTCATCCCCTTAGCTTCAATCCCCTAGCTAGGGGGAGAACAACCCCCTAAATTTGAATAGGGAATAGGGGTCGTGTCATACCTCTTTTTAAAGGTCCTATCGAGTTCTTTATGGCCCTAGAATTTCATCTTATTATTTTCATCCGTAACGAAATGACAGCTTGTCAAAATCTTGGAAATGGACTATGTTTTAGTAGGAGTAAAAGCGGTACTTACCTCCCTTGATAAAAATATGATTAAAAATACCTACAATTTACAATTCTCGTGTACACCTCATTAATAATAATAAGAAAAAACTTTATTTCAAGTATTTTCATTAGGGGAGGTAAGTATCGCTTTTGCCTCCACTTAAACTAATAGTCTATTTCCAAGATTTTGACAAGCTGTCATTTCGTTACGGATGAAAATATTGAGACAAAACTCTAGGGGCATAAAGAACTCAATGAGACCTTTAAAAAGAGATATGACATGACCCCTATTCCCTATTAAAATTTGGGGGGTTGTTCTCCCCCTAGCTAGGGGGTTGAAGCTAAGGGGATGAGAAAAACTGGAAAATAGTTCCCCCTCAAATCAAAAATCGACGTGTCCGAGCGTTTTTCCAGATTCTCATCGCAAATCCAATAAATCGGGGTGGACTGTTTTCCCTGGGACACCCTGTATGATAGATCTACGGATGAGTTCTGAGTGGAGGATAGACAATCTCCTCACGTAATCCTGGCGCGTATTGTATTGTCCCCTTAGCTCCAATTCGCACTTATACTTCCTGAAGACTAAACAGGCCGTTTCCAGAATAAACAGACAACAGAGAGGTAGAATACCGTGGCTCAGAAACAGAGGGCGATACGAATCCCGAGGTTTGGCTCCACACAAGTATCTGATGGCTCTTTTCTGAAGTAAGAACACTGGATTAAAAAGATAGTCAGAACAAGAGCCACAGAAAGCAGATTCCGTATGGAAGATGGGACTCAATAATCGCGAAATACGCACATTTGGCAATGGAGAAATTTAGGTTATTAGCAATAACTCTGAGGGCATAGCAACCAGACGAAATTTTGTTGCATTAAACGTTCGCGTAGTGATGGGCACATTTCATAGAGAATTTTGGTCTTAAATGTATTGAATGTCAGAAAATTGGCGTCGCACCAGCACTTTATCCAAGCAGATCCGTCCTCATATTGGCCTCCATTCTACCAACATCAGAATCATGCCAGAGGATAAGTGGTATCGTCTGCAAAGATTGTGAATCTACCCGTTATCTGGAGATGTGGTAGATCATTTACATAAATGAGGAAAAGCAGAGGACTAAGTACCGAGTCCTGTGGGACGCCCTCACTAATATCAAGTTCCTTAGAAGTACCACCATTAAACTTGACAGTCTGAACGCGATCCGACAGGAAGAACGAAACCACTCTAGGGCAGCTCCCCTAAAACCATACAGCTCGAGTTTCCACAGTAGCATTCCGTGAATCACACCAGCCAAAAGTCTTTGACAAATCACAGAACACCGCTGCAGCGACCTCCCCACAGTTCAGACTATTATACACGTGTTCAAGAAAGTCAAAGATGGCATACCCCGTACTCATGATATCACGAAATCCAAACTGCTGAGAACTTAAAAGGCCACGGTTGTTCAAGAACGATAACATCCTAACCTTAACAAGCCGCTCCACAACCTTAGCCAGAGTAGGCAGTAATGCTATAGGCCTAAAATTAGAAGGAGAGCCGTGCTCTCCACTCTTATATAGAGGGATAATCACTGCTCTCTTCAGGCAAGATGGAAAAACCCCCGACACAAAAGAAATGTTAATTGCCTCAGCAAGAACCTGCAAAGCAACTATGGGTAAAGCTAAAAAAACCTTCAATGAGAGCCCATCCCAACCTGACGCACCCTTATTCCTGATATTACCGAGTATACATATAAGCTCTTCTGCATTAGTTGGAGCTAGAAAGAAAGATTCAGCCACTGCTACATGTTTCAGATAGCTCCTGGGATCATTCCCTGTTGAAATTTTGGCTGAGAGTTCAGTGGCAATATTGCAGTAAAAGGAATTTAGGTCATTAGGATTCAGATTGCTTGAAGTGACCAAAACATTATTCCTACCCCTCAGGTCATTTACAATTTTTCGAGTCTCTCTTGATCTATTAGAAGACTTATTTATCCTATTCTGAAAATAAGTCCACTTGGCAAACCTGATCGATCTTCTGTAAACCCTTGGGTACCTACCTATCAAAATAGTTTAAGAATACTGGATTGTTCATATAGAATTTTCTGATGTAATGAAGGGAGCGCATATTTTTTCCAGAAGTTCGCAGGCCCTTTGTAAACCAGGGTTTTCTCTTTCGCTTCTTTATACTGACAATAGGGAAGGCAATTTCAAAATTACTCAGCAACATTTGATGAAACTGCTGGAATGGGCTGACAGTAGCCAGAACGTCATTCCATTCCGATCGGCGGCAAATCGAAGAAAATTTAGAAAAGTTTGCCCTAGTATAAAGTCTACCGCGTCTAAACCTACCCTGATCAGCTTCAACGCCAAATGGCACAAGTCCTATTACTGCCTCGTGGTCAGACAAACCGTTACACACTGAATTTCAATATGATTGAAATTGGTGCAGAAATAGTCCAGTATTGAGTCAGAGAATGCGGAAAAGCGGGTTGGCCGATCCACGTGCATCTCCAATTTGAACGAGTTCAACAAATTACACAGTAACTGATTGGATCTATTACACTTCTCCAAGAAATTCACATTGAGATCGCCAGTCAAAATCAACAAGGAATTAACCGAAATGTCGCTCAACAAAATCTCCACCTCTCAAAAACAACTTCAAATTACGAGATGGAGACCTATAAAAACCGACAACATACATATTGAGAGTTTTGAGTCATTAGATACCTAAGTAGAAGTAGAGAACGAGGAAGATGTTTATTTTCTCCATATAAGTATAATAAAAACTGCAATTCTATTCAATAACGTTTCCAAGCTTGAATTTCAACCCCAATCTGGTAGTTTCAATGCTTTTCTCACCAGCCTTGTACAGGTCTGAATTTTTGTAATCCAAAAACCATTTTTTTAAATTCGGACACTCGTCCTCTTGAATCGGTAAAATCATGTCAGCAATAGTTAGTGAAGAAAAAATGCTTATGTCAGCTATTGTAAACCGCTCTCCTGCAACGTATTTAGTCGTTTTTAGTATTCTTTCTAGAACGACGTGGACATCTTTAAGGTATTCTAACTGTTTGGGATCAATAGATGTTTGATCTTCGTAAAATAATGGCCACTGAAACAAGATAAGTATTCATTTTCTCATACTAATTTAAATCTACGTTTTACTTACAATACAATTTGCCATCTTTTTAGTTACAATTCCGCAATCAAAATTAAGCATTTGGAGTATCTTGTACCTTTCTTTGGGCTCTGTGCTGAATAAGGTACTACCTTTTCCATAGGTTTCTGCTAAGTAAACCAAGATGGCGTGACTGTCCCATAAGATAAACCCATCGTCGTCCAGTGCCGGTACTGTATGTGAAGGATTTATCTGAAAGAAAAATAAAGATAGTACCTACCATTTTAAGATTTCTTTTCAGTTCAGGAACTGAGAACAAACTTCCCAGTATTCATTTGAGCTTAAAATCAAATCTGAAATTACCCTACTTTGTTTATTTACCTTCAAATACCAATGGCTTAAATATTCTTTGTTGGCAAAATCAACTTCGTGCAATTCCAATTCAACGTTCAAGGCTTTGGCAGTCATAATTACAGCGTTAACAGGAGGGCTTCCCCATACTATATATAATTTTTTACCCATTTGAGTCTGAATTTAAGCTTTTGATGCTTCCACACTACACGCTACCGCATATCAAAATATACTGAATAAATGTATGACTACGGCTTTAAATAATCTTGCTCCTCATCAAAAAAATTCTGATATAGGATTTCTTACAGGACCGTATCAGATGATACTTTAATACCCACACATCCACTAAGGCAAGCCAAACATTTTATCAAGAAGGTTGTTCAACTTCGCCAATCTGTCATAGATATTGGAAATGTTCAGGAGGAAAATAACATTTTTTATTACTAAACATTTATTTATAAAAACTAAACAAATATTGCACATGGTTGCTGAACAAGCAAATAATAAATTAAGCTTAAAAACTATTTGAGAGCAGAAAAAAACTGTCCAAAATCTCATAGATGTTCTAGATGCCTTTTGCGATTGACCACGTATGGATGTTTCGCTTCATTCTCGTAACTAACTTTTGCATGGTATCCACTATCATCCGCATAATAATCAACCCTTTGTCTCCTACCATCCGGCAAATTCACAAAATACTGCCCTTTCGTCATTTCCTCATTTCTTTCTTCTCGGTGACCGAAATCGTTTCCATGCTTTTCGTCGATTATTTTATATCCGAAGGCGTATTTGGCTGCGTATTGTTGAACCTGAAACAAAATTTTCATTTAAACAAACATCAGTTAAATATTGCTGTTGAAAGAACTTTTAGCTCACTACCCACCAAGCTTTCGCCTGCAAAACATTCATTGTGTCTCGTATATGCTTAATTCTTTTACTAATTTTTTTGTATGAAAAAAGAGACCACATTAGGAGGAGATTATTTATTTAACATTACAATTATTTATTGCTTTACATTAGAAGAATATAAGGGCTTATATAATCATTTTTAGTAGGTAACAAAATAATAATAATGTGGAATCCCATAAGGCAATCTAACATTGACGATCAAATTTTGCTAAGTAGGTACCATTACCTACTGGCTTTTGTGATTCTTTGGATAAGTTTTCTGAAGACAATCAAAGAGTCTCCAAAAATATACTTGTGTGAGTATAGGTAAAGTTCGTTCACCAGGGTTCATACTTGACCTTGAAACTTGAAAAAAAAGGGTTGTCGTAGATTAATTCATATGACACATTCAATTTTTTTGACAAATTAAAATGAATGACTTCTGGTTTAAGAGCCGACGAACGTTTTCGACGTCATTGATTTGTTTCAGTCAATTTTTATTTGTTAAACAAGGAAGGTGAATACTGGTGGCAAGTACAAACCCTGGTGAAACAAACTTTATATACTTTTTACCACACGTTCAAGAAAGTATAAAATCGCTAAATACATTTTTGATATAAGAAAAAACCATGCAGGTAGATATACTAATTTACTATTCACATGATTAGTGTGCACTTTTAAGGAGAAAAACCAGTGAAAGTTGGCTAAGGTTAATGTTAAAAGAAAAAATCTTTGTCGCAACAGCAGATGTGACATTATGTCAGTTTTTCATAATGAAACCGGTTCACAAGCCTATACCTACACTAATTTTCGCTAAAGCATTTCGTACTTTTTCCTCGGCCCGTATAACTTTTGAAACAATTTTTTTAACATTACCCTGCCTTTTTGCAATAAATTTATTAGCCCTTTGGTTATTATTACTATTATTTATAATTATCACATTCTTATTATTGCTTCCAACTGAATCTGATCTTTCAACTAAATTATCCAAATCAGTAGCCACCACTTTAGACCCATCAAAAGAATAATTAATATGTACACTTCTTTTAAATCTACTTACATCATCATATAAAGACTGTCCTGCATTATACAAAGACTTTTCTTTGGTAGGCACCAATTTCACTTGAATATGTTGATGACTCTTTGGTTCCACATTAGGCGAATGAGTAACTTTTTCATAAGGCGACAAAGGAGAATAATTTTGAATTTTGGATGGATCAAAATCTAACTTGGACGCTTCAGTAACTTCAATAGCCTGATGCTCATAAGTGCCTGGTGTTGGTAACGCATATTCAGTTGAAGATGGGTAGTTTGAATTCAATTCCCCAGCAGTTACATATAGAAATTTAGGAGCTTCAGTTGGCCTATATTGCAAATTACTAGATTTATAATAATTATTGGTGAATGGAGCTTCAGTTGATTTTATTATTGGTTTAATATTGCGCAAGTTAAAATGTCTTCCATGTAATGCTGCAAGTTCAGGTAAATCTTCAACAGAGTTTTCATTTTCTGAAGCAGCTGCAGTAGAATGACTAGTAACATCTTCCAAAATGTTATATTGTTCTGATGAAGATGATCCCTGATTATGAGCAGCTATTTTAGCTAAGGCAGCTTCTTGAACTTTTTGTCTAGCTACGGCTATGGCTTCATGTTGAGCTTTAACGTGAGCTTCAGCTTTTTTTTGAGCGTAAGCTAATATTTGATTTTCGTGAGCTTTATTGACAGCATCCAGTTGTTCTTGTAATTTTTGTATGCGAGGAAGTCCGCCGCGTAAAGGGCTACCGTTGTGTTGGATTTCGGCTAGATTAGGTTGTATCAATTTCTGTAAACCTTGCAATTGCAATGAAGGGTCTTTGCCTAGCAGTTTTTGTAGCTGAGATATTTGATCGGTTGATTTATGAAGGTATTGATCTTGTCTATCTTTTAGTAGGGTTTGTTCTTTAGGTTCACTACTGGCTATGTCTAAATCATTTTCATGAATTTCATTGGTAGATAGCTTTGTTGGTTGAAATGGCTTCCAATCACTATCTTCGGCAAAAGGTATACTAACAGGAGTTTCTCTATCTTGATTCAAATTCTGCCGCAATCCAATAACGACATCAGGATTATTGGCAGGGGCTCGATGCTTGATATTACGAGCATCCACTTGCTGTTGCTGAGAGTACCGAGATTTCAGTCTATCTTGCTGTAGAGGAGCGTGTCGATAATTGAATATTGGAGGTTTTTCGAAAACATCCAAATGGCGTGCGGTTCTTTGGTAAGCTGGAAGTTCTTCAGTTAGTTCTTCGTAGACTTTCGGTACGTGTTCGGTGGAGACGGACTTTAGAATGGTCAGAATCTGAAAAAAATATACCTACATATTGAAGATACTTGCTGATGAATATTGAAATATATCTATTATTAAAGTTCAAATAGAACTAGGAGAAGAAAATCAGACAAAATTAAGCAATAAAAAGAATACAAAAATTATCAGCAAAAGATGAGCTACATTATCGCAATCAAAATGAAATTCTCAACAAATTTTTGGTAGATTGTATATGGCAGAAATAGTCCATTGTCATCATCCAAAAACTAATATGTAATTATGTAGATTATTAATTTTTCTCACACTTGCTAATTGTTTATTGACTACATAATGATGAGAAAAATATGTAAGTACCTGTGATTAAAAGAAAGTGGACGTTCTTTTTGTGAGAATAATAATTTCGATACCATCAACATCTGTTAAATGGCAGAATTAATTTTTTTTGGTAGCGACTTAATTTATTCGTTCTTGAATCATGATGTCTAATTTTGAAGATATTTTATGTGAATAAATTTAATATTTGACTTTTTTCATAGTTAGCTTTCTCTTTTCTCTTAATAATCATCCCTTGATGATGACGTCTCGGTTTTAATCAATTTCAGAGAAGCTCAGCTCAGAAACTAATAAAGATTCGAGTTTTTGGAGTTGAGATTAGGTAGAACAATTATTTATTATATTTGATCATAATAAAGTTGTTATACATAGACTCATACAAACATCACACAAATTATATAAAAAGTCACTCAAGATGTTAATTCCGCAAATATATTTTTAGGGTTTGCAAATTGCTTCTTTTTAAAAAAATAATCATGAATATCATTAACCCTCTATCAACGAAAAAATATTAAAACATACACATTCAGCAATTAAAACAAAACAACCAAGGAAAAGATATAGCTAACAACCAATTTTTTTCTTCAGTGCCTCCTCTGTTATTTTGTAATATGTATTGTAAAATCCAAGGAAAAACCCAAATCTGGAAGCTTGCTGGATCTTGGATTCATCCAGACTTGCCACCAAAGGTGATTTGTTATACCTACTTTTTCCTTTCAAACTCAGAACATTAAATTATTTTGAAAAATAGAAAAAGTTTTACTTACAATTATAAATCTAGTAGGTCCCATTTTTCGAAAATCTTCTGCAAAAATAAATCACTATAGTTACTACCGATAAAACGCTCGCGACCTTGCACTTGGACAGTACTTGATCGTCTGCACGAGATCTTATTCAACCACTTTCTTTTCTATATCAAGTTACATCTTCCATATGCAAGATAAATCTTCATTCTTGTTTTTTTCTCCTACTAGTTTTCTCGCCATTTCTCCCATTTAGGATTAATATAGTCGGAGAACAGCTGATACTACTCAACAGTGTGTATATTTTACGGTGATGGTCTTCTAAAGTTGCTCTTGGACTAAACAAATTGCAAGTTCATTCATAAATAAGACGATTGTTCCAAATTTTGAATTAACAATTAGTAAAAGTAAAATTAAATTAGATTGCGAATTATTTCGTGTGTATTTGATTAATTGGACGGAAGTAGATCGTTAAGTAACTATCTACTTTTTCTGTATTGTGATACAAGCAATCTAAATTCAAATCAAAAAAGATTATTAGGAAACGACGCTTTATAATTAGTTAGCAGGTATTTTATACAATGATGAACATCATTAAAGTAACCTAATCTAATATTTCCACTGTATATAAAATCTACAGGTTTTTAATCATTGTAGAGGATGTTTGAAGAAAGTGGCCCTCAGTGAAGGTTTGTGGAAAAGAGCTGCAAACTGTGAGTGTATTTTCGATTTTGCTCAGTCATTCTTTGTTTAATTCTGGACTAAATAGTAAACTATGGCTGGAATAAATATAACCATATAAAGTACCAGTGTTAGAAGCAAACAATTTCAACAATTGGCAATTTAGAATGGTAACTCTGTTGGAGATCCTACCTTATCTACTTCTTTGTCTTACTATTTTTGCTAAAAATACAGTCAAATTAACATAAAAAATGAAATTTGTTTGTTGGAAAAAGAGGAAAAACATTCTATT